GAGTGTGAGGGTGAATGTGTGAGAGTGGATGTGAGTGAGGGTGAGTGTGTGAGGGTGTGTGTATGAGATTGAGTGTGTGAGGGTGAGTGTGAGGGTGAATGTGTGAGAGTGGGTGTGAGTGAGGGCAAGTGTGAATGAGGGTGAGCGTGTGAGGTTGAGTGAGTGAGTGAGGGTGTGTGTAAGGATAAGTGTGTGAGTGAGGGTAAGTGTGGAGTGATTCTGCATTTGAGATTGTTTGTGCATGTGTGTTTTTGAGGGCACATCTGAGTGTGAGTGTGTTGCGTATATATCTGTGAATTTTTTTATTACTCATTGGACATTGATGTTGCTGGCTGGGCCCAGCAGTTATTGCCCGTCCCTAGTTGCCCTTGAGAACGTGGTGGTGAGCTGCCTTCTTGAACCGTTGGAGTACACGTGCTGTAGGTTGACCCACAATGCTCTTAGGGAGGGAATTCCAGGAAATTGGGTGAGTGACAGTGAAGGAACGGCGATATATTTCCAAGTCAGGATGGTGAGTGGCTTGGAGGGGAATTTGAAGGGGGTGGTGTTCCCACGTATCTGCTGCCCTTGTCCTTCTGGATGGAAGTGGTCGTGGGTTTGGAAGGTGCTGTCTGAGGGATCTTTGGTGAATTTCTGAAGTGCAAGTTGTAGATAGTACACACTGCTGCTACTGAGCGTCGGTGGTGGAGGGAGTGAATGCTTGTGGATGTGGTGCCAATCAAGCGGGTTGCTTTGTTCTGGATAGTGTCAAGCTTCTTGGGTGTTGTTGGGGCTGCACTCATCCAGGCAAGTGGGGAGTATTCCATCACACTCCTGACTTGTGTCTTGTAGATGGTGGACAGGCTTTGGGGAGTCAGGAGGTGAGTTACTCGTTCCAGTTTGGGTCTGTATCTGCAGATATCTAAATGTGTGTGTATTTGTTTGAGTGTGTATCTGAATGCATTTGAGTGTATGTTTTTGAGTGTGTATCTGAGGGTGTATGCATGTGATAGAGTGTGTTTTGAGTGTGTATGTTTGATTGTGTAACTGTGTGTGCGTGTGTATTTGGATGTATATCTGTAAATGTGTTTAAGTGTGTATCTCTGTGTATCTGAATGTGTGTGTGTTTCTGATTATATGTATATTTGAGTGCATGTTTGAGTGTGTCTGTGTTTTAATGAATGTGTGTGTGCCTGTGTATATCTGAGTGTGTGTTTGAGTGTGTCTGTGTATATCTGTTTGTGAGTTTGTGTGTGTATATCTGAGTGAATGTGTGTTTGAATGTATCTGTGTGTATAGCTAAGTGTGTGTATTGGAATGTTTGAGTGTGTGTCTGAATGTGTGTGTATTTGACTGTACATTTGAGTATGCGTTTGAGTGTGTATCTCTGTGTATTTGAATGTTGTATGTTTCTGAGTGTGTTGTCTGAGTGTGTATGTTTCTGATTGTGTATATAATTGAGTTTGTGTGTATATGTTTGAGTATGTCTGCGTATATCTGAGTGTGTATGTTTGAGTGTGTCTGTATATCTGAGAGTGTCTGTGTATATCTGGGTCTGTCTGTGTATATCTGAGTGTGTGCACGTCCATGTATATCTGACTGTGTGTGTGTGGCTGTCTGTATATGAGGGTGTGTCTATGTTTAAGGGTATCTGTGTATATCTACATGTATGAGTTTTAATGTGTGTGTGTGAGTGAATGTGTGTTTGAGTGTGTGTAGCTGAGTGTGTCACTATGTATGTGTGTCTGTGTGTATATCTGAGTGTGTGTGTATCTCTCTGTCTGGGTGGATGTATGGGCTTTTGATTTGTTTTAACCTGGAAGTGTCTTTGTTGCCCGTTCGGCCGTTCCAGAATTGTTGGAGCAGTAATATTTGATTTTTTTGGTCTCTCCCTCTCTCTCTCTCTCTCTCTCTGTTTGAACTCTGGGTTGCTCTGGGATTGGCGGTACGCAGGGCAATGAGAGGTTCATCCCCTGCATTGATCAGCAGCGAGCTGAACTTTCTCACTGTTCCCCTCACAATCCGAGACACAGCGAGGAAGCTGGGCTGGGTTCGGCCCTCACATACACAGCAAACTGCATCAAGAGAAGGAACAAGGAAGAGAGAGAGAGAGAGGCAGAGAAATCGGCGACTTCTGGGAAGCTGGATGTGAGCAAGGAGCGAGGGGGAAAAGTTGCCTTTGTGTTCGGTCGAAAGAGCAGGGATCTGATTACTAATTATTTGTCAGAGACTCGCATATGTGTGTGTGTGTGTGTGTGTATGTATGCGCGGAGAGACAAATTTCAAAGCGATTAAACCCCAGCCAGACACACACACACACACACACACACAAAATTAATTGGAAAATCCCCTCTTTCTCTTACAACAAGCAGCAATGTGGGGGTCAGTCCTATCGATGTGTGAAATCTGAGCGAATATTACACAGTGAGAAAAAATAATCCGAGACAGTTTTTCTTTAAAAAAAACTGGGCTCCACAAAGTACAGAAGAAGAAAAAAAGCAAAATCCGGTTTGGAAGCTCAGCAAAACAGAGAGAAGAAAGGCTTTTTTTTCAGGGAGTGAAACTCCCGGAGATTCATGTGGATTCTTTTCTTGTTCAGCATCAAAGTTTCGCCTATTATTCCATTTTATTTCGAGACGTCTTGCAGCCTCCCTGAATGGAGATTATTTTGACTGCTGTTGTTTCAGAGGGAGCTTCGCTGGTGAGGGTTGAAGCGAATCCTCAGTGAATTGGTTTGGTGTTCCTGTGAGTTTGGGATTCTGTTGGAAGCGGGAGAGTTTTCTCGGTCTGCTCAGTCTTATGGAATGATTTAGCTTCATGTCCCCTGTTATCATGACCACAGAATTACTCCGTTTCTGCCTGGCCGTTGGATTAATGTGCATGACTTCAGGTTTGTGCTGTGCTCTATTTAATTTAAGCTTTTCATCGCGATTAAAGCGGCGTGTGTGTTTAATGTTGCACAGAGAGAGAGAGCAGAGATAACCACTAAACTGCTGCAGTGTCTCTGAGTTTGAGGAGTTTCCACTCAGAATCCGAGAGATCCGGATGCCTTTTTAAACCCTCTTTCTTCTCTAGAAACGCGGTTAATATTTCTGACTTCCCTCCTCAAGTTTCCAAACAGAATCTAATCGGTTTTCATGTGAATATTTCGCTTCAGTAATGAGACTAGAGGCAGTTTGTGTAGAATCCCTTCGCCTGTTGTTATTTTGATGCAAATATTTGTGTTTTGTGGGTGTGTGTGTTTGTGAAGGGAGTGGGTTATAAAGAATGGCTTTTCCCCTTTCTGATAAACAAACTAATTAAGCACCCGGTCTTTTTATGGAATGTTTAAGGAGCAGTAGACGGAAAACAGAATGCTGAAAGATATCCTTTTTCAGTCTTCACAGTTTTAATGAAGAGATAAAAAGTTTCGAGTTTGCAGTGTTGGGATTAGCAGAACCACTCAGCCTATTGGCTTTATGTATTGTACAGTTCAGACCACACCACCGGTCCCATCAGAGAGCCGGCAGATCGCGAGCTCAGTAACTATACTCGGCAAACAGTCCACATTCCAACCCAATCTTACAGTCAGCGATTTACAGTTCTCTTTCTCTCTCTCTCTCTCTCTGTCCCTATCTTCCCGTGTTGGCGAGAATGTCACGCTCTCTCTCTCTTTTTGCATCTCTCTCTCCCTCTCTGTGTCTTGCTCTCACTCTCTGCCTCTCAGTTCCAGGGATTTCCTCTCTCTCTTTGTCTCTCTCTGCCTTTCTATGCCATTCTCTGCCTGAGTCTGCCCCTCTCTAGTGGAATCTTCATCTCTGACAATCTTTGTCTCTCTCTCCACCTGAGTTCTGTCTCGTTCTCTCTCGCTGTCTCATTCTCTGATCCTTTCTCACTTTCTCTGTTCCTGTTGGACTTTCAGCCCTTTCTGTTTCCTCTTTTACTCTTGTCCTTCTCATTCTTTTGTGCTTCCAGATCTCAGTGTCACTGTTGTGTTCCCTGTCACTTACATGATACACTCAGAATTAGGCCATTTGGCCCACCCAATTTGTGCCAGCATCCATGCTCTGTTCAAACCTCCTCCCATCTTCCTCATCTAACCTGACCCATGTAATCATTGGCCCCTTCTCTCCTAAGGCAGTGCCTAGGAATTCTCTCATTCAGGTCCTTACATGGCTCAGCGGTTCAGTTCAGTCACTCGCTCCCCATTCAGTGGAGAGTGCAGGAGGGCATGCCAGGAGCAGCACCAGGCATACCTGAAGATGAGGTATTAACCTGGTGAAGCCACCAGACAGGAATACTTGCACACCAAACAGCGAAAGCAGCAAGTAATAGACAGAGCTAAGCGATCCCACAACCAACGGATCAGATCTAAGCTCTGCAGTCCTGCCACATCCAGTTGTGAATGATGGTGGACAATTAAACACCTCACTGGAGGAGGATGCTGCACAAATATCCCCATCCTCAAATGGACCTCTCAAATGCTAATGCTGATCTCCATCTCTGCACCTTCTCTGCGGCTGTCACACTGAATTCTGCACTCTGTTGTGCTACCCTGATGCACTTTGTATGGTACAGTCTGCCTGTACAGCACACAAAACAACATTTTACATTGTATCTCAGTAGATGTGACAACAATAAATCAAGCTCAAATTCAAAGGCCCTGCACATCAGTGCAAAAGATAAGGCTGAAGCATTCGCAGCAATCTTCAGCCAGAAGTGCCGAGTGGATGATCCATCTCGGCCTCCTGCAGTGGTCCCCAGCATTACAGATAGCAGTCTTCAGTCAATTCGATTCACTCCACGTGATATCAAGAAACGGTTGGAGACACTGGATACTGTAAAGGCTACGGGCCCTGACAACATTCCGGCAATAGTACTGAAGACGTGTGCTCCAGAACTTGCTGCTCCCCCAGCCAAGCTGTTCCAGTACTATTATAACACTACAGTTACACAAAAAGCAGGCCAAATCCAACCCAGCCAATTACCACCCCATCAGTCTCCTCTCGATCATCAGTAAAGTGATGGAAGGTATCATTAACAGCGCTATCAAGCAGCACCTGCTCAGCAATAACCTGCCCAGTGACGCCCAGTTTGGGTTCTGCCAGGGCCACTCAGCTCCTGACCTCATTACAGCCTTGGTTCAAACATGGACAAAAGAGCTGAATCCCAGAGGTGAGGCGAGAGTTACAGCCCTTGACATCAAGGCTGCATTCGACCAAGGGGCCCTAACAAAACTGGAATCAGTGGGTATCAGGGGGCAAACTCTCCAGTGGTTGGAGTCATACCTGACACATAGGAAGATGGTTGTGGTTGTTGGAGATGAGTCATCTCAGCTCCAGGACATCTCTGCAGGAGTTCCTCAGGGTAGTGTCCTCGGCCCAACCATCTTCAGCTGCTTCATCAATGACCGTCCTTCCATCATAAGGTCAGAATTGGGGATGTTCACCGATGATTGCACAATGTTCAGCACCATTCACGACTCCTCAGATACTGAAGCAGTCCATGTTCAAATGCAGAAATGCCTGGACAATATCCAGTGTTCTCTAACTTGAACTTGTAACATTTGCACCACGCAAGTGTCAGGCAATGGTAATCTGCAATAAGAGACAATCTAACCACTGCCCCTTGACATTCAATTATCTTATTGTCAATGAATCCCCCACTGTCAACATCCTGGAGATTACCACTGCCAGAAAATCAACTGGACCAACCATATAAACACAGTGGCTAGAACAGAGGCTATGAATATTGCAGTGAATAACCCACTTCCTGACTCCCCAAAGCCTGTCCACCATCTACAAGACACAAGTCAGGAGTGTAATGGAATACTCCCCACTTGCCTGGATTGATGCAGCCCCAACAACACTCAAGAAGCTTGACACCATCCAGGACAAGAGACAGCAGGAACTGCAGATGCTGGAGAATCTGGGATAATAAGGTGCAGAGCTGGATGAACATAGCAGGCCAAGCAGCATCAGAGGAGCAGGAAGGCTGACATTTCGGGCCTAGACCCTTCTTCAGAAATGGGGGAGGGGAAGGGGGTTCTGAAATAAATAGAGAGAGAGGGGGAGGTGGATAGAAGATGGATAGAGGAGAAAATAGGTGGAGAGGAAACAGACAGATCGAAGAGGCGGGGATGGAGCCAGTAAAGGTGAGTGTAGGTGGGGAGGTAGGGAGGGGATAGGTCAGTCCAGGGAGGACGGACAGGTCAAGGGAGCGGGATGAGGTTAGGAGGTAGGAGATGGAGGTGCGGCTTGAGGTGGGAGGAGGGGATAGGTGGGAGGAAGAACAGGTTAGGGAGGCGGGGACGAGCTGGGCTGGTTTGGGATGCGGTAGGGGGAGGGGAGATTTTGAAGCTTGTGAAGTCCACATTGATATCATTGGGCTGCAGGGTTCCCAAGCGGAATATGAGTTGCTGTTCCTGCAACCTTCGGGTGGCATCGTTGTGGCACTGCAGGAGGCCCAGGATGGACATGTCATCTGAGGAATGGGAGGGGGAGTTGAAATGGTTCGCGACTGGGAGGTGCAGTTGTTTAGTGCGAACCGAGCGTAGGTGTTCTGCAAAGCGGTCCCCAAGCCTCCGCTTGGTTTCCCCGATGTAGAGGAGGCCATAATGGGAACAGCGGATGCAGTATACCACATTAACAGATGTGCAGGTGAACATCTGCTTGATGTGGAAAGTCTTCTTGGGGCCTGGGATGGGGGTGAGAGGGGAGGTGTGGGGGCAGATGTAGCACTTCCTGCAGTTGCAGGGAAAAGTGCCGGGTGTGGTGGGGCTGGAGGGGAGTGTGGAGTGGACAAGGGAATCACGGAGAGAGTGGTCCCTCCGGAAAGCAGATAAGGGTGGGGAGGGAAGATGTCTTTGGTGGTGGGGTTGGATTGCAGATGGCGGAAGTGTCGGAGGATGATGCGTTGGATCTGGAGGTTGATGGGGTGGTACGAGAGGACGAGGGGGATTCTGTTTTGGTTGTTATTGCGGGGGCGGGGTGTGAGGGATGAGTTGCGGGAAATGCGGGAGACACGGTCGAGGGCGTTCTCGACCACTGAGGGGGGCAAGTTGCGATCCTTGAAAAATGAGGACAGCTGAGATGTACTGGAGTGGAATGCCTCATCCTGGGAACAGATGCGGCGGAGGCGAAGGAATTGGGAATGGGGGATGGCATTTTTGCAGGAAGGTGGGTGGGAGGAGGTGTATTCTAGGTAGCTGTGGGAGTCGGTGGTTGAAGTGGAATCAAGGACTGCAACATCCCCCCCCCC